CCGCCAGCGGTGACATCTGGAGTCGCGGGTGATGAACACGTAGACCCACGAGCTGCAATGCCGCTCCCCCTTGGATCCTGGCGAGAGACTGGTACAGTGTTTGTGCCCCAGGCTGCCTCATCCCGTCAACGGCAACGCCGGAGGGGGAGACATCATCCCTATGGTGCTCGACAACTTCACGCCCCGAATGATCCGAGCACTGCTGCCCCAGGCACCCCTGGGAGCGAACCTGATCCTGGGCATCTTTGCATTTGCTTGCGCAGCTTTGGCTTAGCGCGACACAATGTACAGAAAAGCACATGCCAAGAGCATGCGGCCAATCGTGATGGCAGGTGAGAAGTAAAATCCTCTGATGTACATGTTCGGTGAGGGATAGACCCCGCATCGAGATGCAAGCAGGTCAGAAAACGAGCAGTTGACCCGGTCCTTAAACCTCGCAGTCCATCAGATTAAAGCTGTACAGCCTCCACATTGTTCAGAGATGTGGTGTGAAAAAGCAGATCAGGTGTGCTTCGCGAACTCATGTTGTAGCGGAAGTAAATGTAAGTACCTGCAGTTGTGGGAGTGCCCTCGACCACATATGCTGGCATTGTCTGCATGATTACCTCACATGCGTGTAAGGAAACACATGTAGCATTCATGGTGAATGTGGTGCAGAAGGTCATCTGTGCAGCTTTTTCTGGTTGGTCGTCGTCGGTAAACCAGGTGTTGGTGCTCAGCGGTGCATCACTTAAAAAGGCCCGGTAGTGACCACATTTGGTGTTGCGCCCTGCATGAGTGATACCTGCAAGGATTCGGTACGGCATCCATTGCACCGTGGCACCAGCTCTGCAAAATACAGGTACATATGTGATGTTCCCTGGATCAATGCGAACACAGACCCTGTTTTTGCGAATCCTTCCGGCTGCTCAACAGATCTCGGCAAGTGTATGCATAACCAAAGAGGCGCCTGCACCAGGGCATGTGGGCGAAACTTCAGCAGAGATCGCCAGCCAAATCAGCTCCTCGGGGCTCCTTCGAAGCGCAGGGCGACGCCCGGTATCAGCTCCACCTCCGCTGCGAAGGTCAGTTGGTGTCCCGCCAGTTCCGCTGCCAGCCTTCTGGTCGCCTGAAATCTGTAGAGGGCTCCAGGCAGCATGCAACTCTGTTGGATGGTTTCGATCAACTTTTCCAACTCCTCTTGCGTGATGCCCTGTCCCTCGATCTTGTCCAGCTGCTCCGTCTCGGCATTCCAGCGTAGGAAGTTCCAGTGTCCCTCCGGTGTTAGCCATTGCTGCCGCACCACCACTGCTTTGAACGCCTCCGCGGTAGTCACCTTCTTGACGCGGTCGAGGAGCTCCGCACAGAGGCACTGCACCACCGTGACCCGCAAGGACATTGTTGGCTTGGTCTCGCTCTCCATTTTCTGCTTCCACGCCTGGCTTATCTTGAACAACGCGGGCAGGATGTTTTCCTTCTCGCCTGGCCTGTTCTGGAACGTGAACAGTAAAACAGTGTCTTGGCCCAATCGCATCAACTGTTGCTCGTGCCTCAGAGACAGGCGGACCAGCTCCTTGACCATGTCCTTCTCCAGGTGATACGTGTCGTCCATGAGGCTTGAGGTCTCCCGAAAGAGAGACGTTTTCGGGCGCGGTGCTCCGCGTCCCCTTCCTCGTCCCTTTGTACTCTTCCGGCTCTGTCCTTTGTGGCTTTGTTGATGTGTCGGAGACGCCGATCTCTTTCCTGTTGACCTCGACGGTGTGGTCTCCGGAGTGCATGTGGTGCTGCTCAAGGACGGCAGCATTTCGCCGTACATGGTCTTGAGTTCGTCCATCGGTGTGGATTCCATCCTCAATCAAGAGATGAACAGACGTATCATGCAGCAGGGCCGCGTTCAACACTGGCATGCAATATTGTGAATGTAATGTTGGCCTGTGCGTCGTAGCGTGGCACCAGCAGCAAGGTGTCGCAGCTTGATTCCCGATTGAGCAAAATGCTATTGTGAACATAATCAGGTCGGTGTTGCCAGAACCCTTCATGTGCAAAAGCGCAATGTTGCATGAACTCACGCACGTCTGCAGTGGGCACTTTGCATTGAACACATTGGTGTCGAGCTTGTTCACACCACGAGACGTCCTCCAACACATGCATCCAGTTTGCGCTTAGGACCAGGGCTGACTCAAGCTCGGGTGTATGCGGAAAGAAGTCACTGCTCACTGGTGGATTTAACAGAGGCTCTTTTGCCGCCAATAATTGCATCTTACGCGCCTTCGATTGTCGGCGTTGGCGCTCTCTGGCAAGCCGTAGCACGTGTCGTCGGTGTTGCTGCGCGTCAAGAGGCCGCATAGTTTGTTCATCGTGCCATAAACGCATCAGCAAGCAAACCTGCCAAATAGTAGGGCATTTAGATGTGTGCGAGACCGCATTACGGACTTGCGCTCCACAGAAGCGACAAGGTGTCACAGCTGCCTTCGAACCAGTGAGCAGTCCTGGTCAACCATAATGCCATAGTCTTGCCAGATAGTGGAGTGGCTGCCTCTATAATGCAACTTCAATTTCCATGGATGTGTCCACTGATCACAAATTGCACAATGCGACCTCAAGTGCATGCAAATGGACCTGAGCTGTACAATAGCAGGCCATCCATGTGTTCCCAGGAAAGTGCGCAGGTCTTCATGGTACGCTACAGGGTCCGCTCTGTTGGTCCTGTTCCAATCTCCCGCCTGTGTTTGTTCGAAGGTCGGGTGGCCTGGAGACGAGGTGTCCTCAATCTCACGTTGCGGGTCCTGGCATTTCAGCCAAAAAGTAGAACAGTGATTGTCCAAGATGTGACCTTGTAGCGCCTGCCATGTTTGGAATTCATGTTCACAGTGTCGACATGTGGGCATGTCATCTTTGCTGTGCAGAAAACGGTCAAAGTTGCGGAGGAGTGGTTCAAGGGGGATGCCGTGCGACTCGACATGGTGCTTCTTCAGCATTCTCATATCCACAAAGAACAGGAGGCATTGAGGACACATGAACTGAGCGGGCAAAACACCTTTGGATGTAGCGACAGGTTGCAGCCACATCCCGCCCTCTCCAGGGAGTAGTAGTGTACCCTGGTCTGGTGTGGCATCAGGTGTTTGTCGAATCTTGAAATTCTGCCAATGTCGAATGGCCTGCTCAAGTTGCAACTGGTTCTGTTGAACCGTATTGATGAGCGCAGTCATGTTCATCATTGGGTCTGTGCTGTTCGTCAAAGTGGTGGAAAGTGCATGCATCCGCTTTTGTAACAAAAGGTGCGGCTCCTCAAAACCAAGGCGTTTAAAATGCCTCCGTGCTCTCATGTGTTATGTGGACTGGGCTGGACGAAATCGCACGGAGTTGCCTTGCACAGCATGAACGGATCAGCCTAAGCTCCTCCCATCCAACTCCCACAGCGTTCAAACCATGTTGTAGAGAAGTTCAGATACACGCCTTCCATAGCTGGACACACTGTTTAATCGACAGAACATGCTTCCCTTGTAGGACTTTTTGCAGTCGCCGACGTTTCGCTTCTGCTTGTCTCAGTCGATAAGCAACTGTGTGTTTCGCTGGATTGTGGTAGCTTAGCATGATGCCGAGGCACTTGGTCTGTTGCACGATTGGGATAGACAGAATTCTGCCCTGGGGTGTTGCCGTGACAAATGTCTTGAGCCCCTTCACCGTTCGCGTCCGCGCCTTTAACCATTCCGCTGCCACTCGACCCTTGACTTGAATGAGGAGCGACGATTTCTGGACATTCACCTTCATGCCAAATACTTCCAACACGTTGAAAATGGCATCCATGCATTGCAGCATAAAAGTTAAGTCCCGTTCGGAATGAAACGTCCATTGCCCAAGAACATCATCTGCGAAGAGAGTCAATTGATCTCGAATCCACTCCTCCGGCACATGTTGCCCAATCATTGACATTACGTGGCTTGTGATGGCCACCCATAATGTGGGATAGTGTACAACCCTGCCTCAGTCCTCTTCCACAATGCACGGTCTCCGTGAGGTCGGCCACCTGTAGATGATACTGGATTGTGCCATTGAATGATCGTATTGATCAGCTCAGCTGGCATTCCTGTGCGGCAAAGTGCCTCGCTGAGTTTGGTTCTGTCCACTCTATCGAAATCCTGGCTCATATCCAGGGCAAGTGTTGCTCCTCCAGTGCAATTCCCTCTCTTTTACCCTGGCGCCTGGCCCGTAGCCCACCGTCTTGATCAAGCAAGAGTTGTTTGACGCTGCGGCAATGGTGAACAGCACGTAGTATGCAGCGCGAATCTGCAGAGCCTTGGCTATGCATTTGCCCTCCACAGTCCTGCAAGGCGATTGGCCGTAGGTTCCCCGGGTACAGGGTGGTTTGGATGGCTTTGGCAACCACACAATCCATGCTCCCGTCCATAAGGTCGGTATGAGACCAGGTTTCATCGGTATGCCTGCAGTAGCGGGCCTGCCAAAAGATGTGACAAACACTTCCAGACAGCTGCTGGGGCGAGGTGCGCAGGTGCAGCCTTGGCCGGCTTAAGTAGCTGCAATGTGCCATCGCAATTCGTGTTCCTCCAATCGTATCAGCGGATCTTTGTCTGGAAGGGGCACATCTGCGGCCTTGGACAAAAACAACTCTTGGCAAAAAGTGGATAGAAATGAAAGCTCCTGCTCGTTGGTGAGCACATTGTGGTCATCTCCGCGTAGCTGCACGTCCTGCTTGGGTACAGTCCTTTCTGGTCCCCTTTTGTCGCGGCTTCCTCCGCAAGTTGGATTTGGTCCAAGTAGAGGTCCCTGCGCCTTCTTCGACCATCTTTCCTGAACTTGGAGTGCAACTGCTGGAAACGACATTGGTGACGCCAGGCCCTAAAAAGATACTGCATGTGGTCAGTCATCTGATGCCATGTGGCCTGTTTGCGTGCCGCTCTTCTTTCTCGCCACATATGTGCAACTGTTACCTTGGATTCCGTCATCTGCCACAAAGTCAATCTGGGATTCCGCAATATCCGAATAAAAAGTTCTGGATCTCCCTATGTATTCAAGGCCACGAGGTTGTGTGTTTCCAGTATGGCATCAAAAGTTGACGTATCCGGCGGTGGCGAAGGTTTCTGAAGGATACCCGAGCCCACTCTGCCTGGAGACATGCTTAAGGGCGTGTTAAAATCTCCGCAGATAAGAAGTGTGTTTCGCATCGCCATTTGCCCAATGGCATGATTCAATTTGGTCCAAATTTGGTCTCGTTGATGAAGAACTCTGGACGCGGTGGCCGCAGTATTCCAGGGGTGTTGGTATACATTTAAAACATCAACATGGTGATTGGAGAACTCCAGTTTGACGTGTAGAATTCTGCCCGGGATGATGGCCGCATAACGGATACGATCAGATGGAAGAAGTCTGCGAGCGATGAGCACCATAACGCCGCTATTCCTATCTGTCGAGTGTCCCGAGCTAACCACGTACCATGGTCCATTCACGTATATGTGTTCCAGGGACCACCCCGTTTCTTGAATGCAAATCACATCGTACTGGTGTTGTTTCATTTGCAACCAGGACATCAATTCATCGTGTGCATCTGTTGAAAGCATGCCAACATTGTGCGAACAAATGCGTAGCCGATTGGACAAGCTCTGGGGTGAGCGCGTTGGACTGGTTCGCGTTTTCGGTGTCATCGGTGTGGTGGCGATGGCTCCTAGGGACTGGGCAGTATGCCATCTTCCGTTGTACCATGTTCCTCCAGAAATGCCGGCTCTGTGCCTGGCTCTCCGATAAGCTCGCTTGGCAGTCCACCCATGGGTCATGCCATCTCCATGTTGAGGGACAGCGGTGGCCGCTACTCCCATTTGTTGACACCTGTACACAATGCCCATTACTGGTAATGTGCTGACAGCTCTCCTCAACATTGCCCTCTGGAACAATGTGGAAAAATCTGAGTCGCTCGCTTGAAGTTGGTGTCTGGCCCCTGGCTTCGCCCGGAAGCGCTCATATTGGAGTCTGTGAACAGGCTCCCGCGACAGTGGGGCATCTGTCGCAACCCTCACCCCCGACGCGTCACACTTGACACGTCGTCCGGACTTGGGACCGGACAAGCTCAAGGAATGAAAATCGAAAAGGTCGAGAAAAAGTGTTGTTTCCTGCAAGTGGGGATTGCGTGCTGGTATGTAGGATACTACGGTGTCGCTCCAGACAGGTTGGAGGGTGGCCTTGAAGGCGTGTGAGCATAATGACCTCACGAGTGAGCCATGGGAATGCATCCATCGACAGGTATGGGACCAAAAGCACATAAGCAATGGCAAGAAGGGACTGCTTGCCCTCGGCCTGCGATGCCATGTCCGTATTTTCCATCGGTGCGTTCTCCATCGAGACCTGTCAGGACTAGGAGCTACTCGTGGCTGGAAGTCATGGTTGTCATTGTGCATTCTGGGCCCCCCTTGGTTATGGCAAGGCTGTTTATCCAAGCACGCAGGGTTCAGCATCGATAACGGATGTACGGTGGGGAGGTCTGGTGTACCAGGTACCTCAGGCATTCGGCGGGCACGCCCCCCTCTTGCTCCCCCTCCGCTGCAATAGGTGCATCGGGTAAGGGCAGTGCACATATTCAATACCCGAAACTGGGCGTCATTGCGCCTTATGAAGGTCTTCAACCAGCTGCTCGAAAAGCAGAGCTGCATTCTGTGACACAAGGCTGGGCTCATTCGAACTGGCGTGCGATGCTGATTTCCCTGTTGGCTCCTGATGGTGATATGGGCGAGGGTGCACGGCACACACAACGTTTTATAAAAGATGCACTTACATCAAAAGCGATGGATATAGAGAGACCGGGGTGCATTCTATCATCGTGTATGCTCATGACCAAGTAGAGGTGGTACCACGTCATCTTTGCCTCATTGGCGATCCGGGAGTGGGATTTGGTGAGCAAATGCCGCTGCCATTCCCGCAGGTTGCCAGGACTGTGTGAGCACAAGAGGCACGTCTCCGTAGTCCGCCAAAGCTTTTGCTCCAGTGCTGGGAGCCAGGTCATCTGCATGGCATCCAGCAGCTGTTCGCTGGTGACCCCAAAACGTGTCGCCGTAGTCTTCGCAAGTTGTATCATCTTGTCCACGAGAAGGTCACTCTCCTCTTCGCCCATCTCCATCTCCTTGCTTGGTGCCGGGTCCACCTTCACGGAAACCTCCTTGCTCCCGGGTGTCGAGGATGACGATGCTTCTGGCTCTGCTCGTTGGGGATCTGCCACCTTGGGCTCCGAGTCCGGGTTGCCAACGGGCTGACCTACGTCGCCATCCAGGTCCTTCTCGAAGTGGCCCGCCCCCCGTCTCTTAGGCATGGGTGGCTGAGGCGGCACTCGTCTCCACGTACTGCTCGAGCTGGATGATTTGCCGTAGGAGGTCTGTGTGCGGGGCTTCCATGGTGTCCTGTTCTGTCGCCGATTCCAGTGGTTTTGGTAGGGTATTCCCAGGCAGGTGTCCGTGCCGGGCTGCGAAACCTCGTAGGTGGCCTCGTCGCTGAACGTGCCTTTGCAGCAGGCGATTGCCCCATTGACACGCGTGAAGCTATCACAGGGATGGGCCGGCTTGAGTAGAATCTGCAGAGGGTCCGGTGGTATGCTGTCTGAACTTGGAGAATTGCGATCTCTGGCAGGCAACTGGGCACACATGTGAGCAGGCGTGGCGTGCCTGTTCTTATCCATCGTGGAGTCCGGCTCCGGGGCGCGGTGGGCCGCACATCCCCAGCCTGAGTAATCAAGGGTGCACACTGAGGTACAGCCGCAATGACTGTCTCTGTGTATGGCGGCGGCCACCAAGGTCGGGACTGATGATTTGATATCTTCCTGCGCGCGCACTGGCGAGTGTGTAGTTGCATGGTATAGCAAAGTGTCGTGAGACTGATCTGCAATCTGTTGACTTGTTTTGACACGGAGGTGCTCAATCCCTGTGAGGCAGCCCACTGTCGCTCTCTTGGCTCCAGCTGGCACGGTGCAGGAAAGCAAGGAGTAAGGAGCATCGGCCCATGCTGGTCAGTCCCACGCAGCTGGAGTGCTTGCATCGCCTGGCCTGCTTGGCCCGCCCTGTGTCGGAGGAGTTGGCGGTGGCACCATAACCTGATGCGGCACACTGCCTTTTGGGAAGGCATCGAGGGACATCCAGGTGACGTTGGTGTTGGGGTCCCAGACCACGGTGTAGATCCCCTGTTGCAGCACCCCACAGGCTCCCTTGGCCGGGGTAGGTGGCGGCGGTCCGCCTGCTCCCAGCGGCGGTCGGCCTCCTCCGCCCATCCCAGGTGGGTTGTGTGGTGTGGGAGGCGGAGGCCCGGCCAGCATGCACGGTGCAGCCCCCATTGTCTCTGGCAGCACTGCCGGCCCACTCGTTGTCGTCTCCGCGCCAGTCGCCGAGGTTTTGGCCTTTGCTCCCATGCTGGAGTCGTTGGTAGTGCCTCCCACTCCGCTTGCCTTGGCAGCACTGCCGCTGGCCTTTGCCGAGGAAGATCGTTCCGCCACAGGGGACCTAGTCCGTGTCCGAGATCTCCGCGAGGTAGGTGTCTCCATGATCTCCCGCATGGTGCCGTCGGCGTCATCGTCCTCCTCATCGATTGGCTCATGCGCCCCCTCGGGGCTGCTTTCGTCCTCCTCTGCCATGGTGGGGGATTCCCCTGTAGCCAAGAGTGGCCGAGGTGGCACAACACACAATAGCGCTCTTTTGAACCAGAGCTTCGAAACGGATTGTATTGAGTAGCTGTGCACGCGGGCGCGGACTGGGCAAATGGGTGGTTAGACAGAAGCAGAGCGCAAGTCTGACTCAAAATACTGGCGTGTATGTCGGCAGCTCTCAGCGGTCCTGCAGTGGTGTTCGTCGCGGGTGTGAGCCTTGGCGGTGTAGTACCTGCGACATCTGGGTACAGGAGACTTCCATGCAAATGCCAATGCGAATAACCAATCAGCATGCTCTTTCGGCACTTAGTATCGGTCGCAGTTCTCGGCTGCCTCCGGTGCAGGAAACGCTTGCGGCTGTGAGCATACATGAACTCAGTCTGAGATTCATTACACACTGCAAGCAGAGTAGCGGTGTCCGCTGACCCCGGCCTGTTCCATGGCGAGTATCGACCCGCTCCCATGTATGGTTCAGAAACGACGCATGATTCGAGAAAGGCTGGCTGATGTGCGTGGGGTGAAGACAAAGCTCGATGCCACAAGAGGGAGATTGTCATGCAAGCACGCAGCAAGGGCTTGGGTTTTTGCTGTCTGAAAAAGCGACCCTTCATGTCAATGCTATGTGTCTCCCGTACAGCGACATCCATGTGTGCAACTCCATCATATAGGCCAGTGTCGCTCTCCTCAGCGCTCAGGGATTTTGCGAGATCCTGCAGCCACAGTGGGTAAAAGCACAAATGTAGAGCGGCCCAACAGCTACTGCATTCCGTAAGCGCGTCCCGCCTGGTCGCGTTCTCCGGCAGTTGATCCGATTGCAGTATTGTGGCGATGTGCTCCATGAACTGGGCTAAGGCTTCTGCTCGATCCGTCCCTCCCCGTTGTGTCAGCACCGCATGGATCGTGGACAGGACAGTGTACGCCGGTATTTGCCGCGCAGTGTTCCTAAGTGCAGAATGGAAATCTTGCTCCGACAGTGTTCGCCCCTCACCGGAAAAGTGGATCCAGCATATTGCTGTCAAGGCATGTAGCGCCCCTTGAACATGAAAATTGACCATAGGTGCAGTCTGCGTGGGCGGGGCATGTTCGGTGGAAGTCTGTGTGTCTGGTACCGTAGCATCGCGGCAAGTGTGTGATGTTGGTGCCGTAGGTGTGTCTCCCGGGCAGATCAGCGGGATGGGTGCCGCAAGCTGTTCTAGGACGGGAGTACTGAAAATGTTCGGCACATTGTTCTGTCCTCCCGGGTGCGGTGTCCGCCTACCCGGGTTGTCCCCCACTGCTGTCTTCCCTGGAGCCGCATAAGCCAAGGTAACATAGAGCAAAAATAAACTCACAGCCATTCTCCATGTGTACAATCGAGAGAAATGCATTTGGAGTTTTGCAACCATGGCAAGCAGCTACAGAGCTACCGAGAAAGAAGCGAGGACACTGTGGCCCCCCAAGCAACACACGACAAGAAAAAGATTCACTTGAGCCGGGGGCTTCCTGATCCTGGGCAACTCCGCCACGGTGCAACTGACCTGCGACTGTTACAGCAAGAGCGAGAGTGATGGGAGGTACTTCTCCAGCAGCGACTTCACGCCTCTGGACTCCCGGTATTTTCCCACGAACGGGAACGTGGAGGGTGGGGGCATCTACACCCTGGTGCTGGAGCAATTTACGCCACGAATGGTCAGGGCCCTCCTCCCCCAGGCGCCCCTGAGCGCCACGCCCATCCTGAGCAACGGGGCCACGCTCCGTCTCAATTGCGACTGCTACAGCAAAGCCGAGAGCGATGCTCGCTATGCCCTGGCAGGGGCACCGCCCGCAGACCCCCTGCTGGTCAATGACGTGCGGGCCAACGGAGCGGATTTCTTGACGCTGCGGGGCGGCAGCCTGGGCGTCGAGTTCGAGGCCAGCAACGGGGCCGCCGTGGCCGACCTGTCCTCCACGCTCTTCAGCCTCAAGACGGGCGTCAACATGCTGACCAAAGGAAGCATCTTCGCGGACTCCAAGCCTGGGCATCGCCACGGTCGGCAGCATCCAGGCGGACACGGTGGAGCCCCTGCTTACCACCAATCAGTTCCTCAACCTGAAGGCGGGCACCGTGTCTGTGCGCGTCACGGACCAGGCGGACCAGAGCCTCTGCACTTTTGCCACGTCGGAGGTGCACTCGGTGGCCCCGCGGCTGCGAGTGGACACGGAGCTCTACATCGACGACGCCACGGGCACGGCCACGGGGCTGGTGACCAATGCCATCTCCACGCGGGTCCAGGACACGCAGCTCACCATCACCGGCGGCTCCGGGGGCACCGTTGTTACCGGCGCACTGGATGTGCAGGGCACGCTGACCTCGGGGAGCGTGGAGCTCAGCACGGAGCTGCGGGCGCCCACGGTGCGGGCGAGGCCCACAGACGACTACCTCACATTGACGGGCGGCACGCAGGGCACCTACCTCAACTCGGTGCTCTACACCGCCAGTGCGATTCGGGCCGACAATGGCATCGTCTCGAGCCCAGCGTACCTGGAGCCACAGGGGTGCAAGCGCAAGGGGATTTGCAGGTGGTCTCCACCGTCAACAGCGGGGACGTCACGGCCGAGGTGCTGAACCTCGCGACGGCGGGCAATGCGCGGCTCCTGGTGGCGTGCAACGCAGGCTCGGGGTCCGCCTCTTCCGCGGGGGGCGTGCAGCTCTACGCCCAGGACCAGGCCATCTTCCTGCGCACGGCGGCGACCGGGCCCACCAACCTCATCGTGGAATCCAACACGGGCGGGGCCAACGACGGCGAGGTGATCTGCAACTACGGCTTCCAGAACCTCTCGGATGAGAAGCTGAAGCACAGCGTGGAGCCCGCGGGGCTGGAGGAGCTGCAGCAGGTCTTCGACACCGTGGCCCCAAAGTGGTACCGGCGGACCGAGGGGAGCCAGAAGCGCACACTGGGCTTCATCGCGAATGAAGTGCGGGAGACGGGGCCCGTGGGCCAGGCGCTGTGCGGCAAGCTCGTGGACGAGGGAGCTCGTGACGCTCGACTACAACCGCATGTGCTGCGTTTTGTGGGGTGTCTGCCAGGGGCTCCAGGCCCGCGTGCAGGCGCTGGAGAAGAAGGGCAAGAAGCGGGGCCGCTCGTAAGCCCAAATAAGCGTTTTGGGCCCGAAGGAGGGCCTGTGAGGGGTGGTGTGCCAAACACACCACCCCCGAAGCACGCATTTTGGGGCCCAAAAGAGGGCCTGTGAGGGGTGGTGCGCCAAACGCACCACCCCCGAAGCATGCATTTTGGGGCCCAAAAGAGGGCCTGTGAGGGTTGGTGTGCCAAACACAACAACCCCGAATTCTCGGAAAAATGGGCCAATTCCAGGCTGGTGCCACGCTTCGTCAAATTTGACGCATCGTGGCACCGCATGCCTACATGAGCGTTTTGGGCCCGAAGGAGCGCCTGTGGGGGGTTGGTGCGCCAAACGCACCAACGAAGGACTCTGAAGGATCTCGTTGCCACAAAAGGAGGGCCTGTGAGGGGTGGTATGCCAAACATTCCACCCCCAAAAGTGATTTTTTTGGGCCCGTTTTGGGCCAATTTCGGGCCGGTGCCACGATTCGCCAAACTTGGCGAATCACGGCACCGCATGGTTATATGAGCGTTTTGGGCCCATAAGAGGGCCTGTGAGGGGTGTTGTGTCAAACACAACACACCGAAAGAGCCCCAAAAAGAGAAATGGCAGAGGAGGGAGCGCTCGAGTTCTTCCGACATCCGCCTCTTCCAGTGTGGGACTCTGCCAATGGCTTGACTCAGGAAGGGAACATGCTCTCCTTCGGTAATCCACTTCTTCACTCCGTTCACCTCAGGCGACCAGAAAGCATGTAGACGCTCGTAATCGCAGCATGATGTGCAAGGGTGGAGAGCGGCATATGTGCTTTTGTGCAACCTTGAACTAAACTCCCCAAACTTTGCCCTTGAACCCTGTTTGCCTTAGGGTCACGATGTAGTGCATGCCATCATCGGACTTTTTGGCCGTGGCTTTGATCTGCGCCACATCGCTGCCAGCAAAGGGCTCGCTGATGGCCAAACAGCTCCTGGCTCTCAGTGAGTCTTAGGTTCAAAGGAGTAATTGGATAAGTTCAGGCGGATTTGGGGGACTTTTGGCTTCTGAGCATTCTAGGCACACGTACCCTGACTTTGGATGTGCTTGGGGTCCCATGGCAGCGTGCTCCGGTACGTCTCAACTATCACGCGTTGGATTCTACCGTGGGCAGGCAAGATTCCACTTCTCGCCCCGGAGAAGCGACGGGAAGATGGTCTTCCTCATCTCTTCCGTTCCGAAGTGATGGATCCTTGAAGGATGGAAGGGTTTGAATGACGTGTCAGCTGGAGGTTTACCATGGGTCTTCCTTGAACGTGCGCCTGCGCATTCTGCCTTACTGGTACTTTGTTGGCTTATTGTTATCTGACCCGACGCGAAGCCTGTCGGGTTCAAGTTTGCAATCGGGTAGGTCTGTTCAGCCGGGATTCGTTGCTATTCCTCTTTAGCGCCCGACTGACTTTGAATACCTGAACCACCGATGGGAGGGGTATGAGAGGCCGGAGCCCCATAATACCGAGACATCGATGCGCATTCCGATCACAGTTCTGGTGAACCTGCTAAGAAAGATGATGCTCAGGTTGTGTCGCCAACTGCTTCGTCGAAGACTCAGCATCAAAAGAGCGAGAGAGAGAGAGTGAAGCCTTCAACGCCTCTCAACCACTGATTCAGCGCTCAAGGTGCGCAGGAGCAGAGATCAGGTATCCAGCTCCCAGGGAGTCCACGAAGCCAGGTAGGCCGACGCGCGCAATCTCGGCTTGAAGAGGTCAGGTGAGCAAGGCTTCTGGGTGGAGAAAAGTTCGCCTTCTCCTCTCCGACTCTCTTTTTGGACCCTGTTTACCCGTTCCCCCTGCCCTTCCCTTTCGAAATCCACGAATGGCACCTCCTGGTGGGCGATGGCTTCCTCGGCAGGATGCTTTTTTGGGGGGGGACCATGGCACATGGGCATCTCGGCATGCTGCGCATGCTTCGCTAGCGACTTAAGCATCCGGGAATTGCTTTGAGAGATTTCGGGATTTCATGGAGGTTCATGTTCATAGTCGGCTTGTGGTTGGACCTGCAGAGTTTACAGTGTTTGCAGATTTTACAGGTTTACTACTTGCAAAGCACAGTTCCAAGTGTACCTTGAGGGAAAGGGGGACGGGTGCTTTAGAAAGTTACTGAAGGAAAAAGCCATCTTGTAAGTCGGGGAGTTTTCCCAGGCATTGCCATTGCCGGCTTTTGCTGCCGGGCGTCATGAAAGTAATCCACGTCCTGCCAAGGCTTGAGCTTTATTGGCCTGCTGGGGTTTCGGCGATCTGGCTCAGCCCTGAAAGCCTCAACGGATAGTTGGGCCTTGTTCCGTGTACGTCCCTAGACCCCGACTAAAAACTCAGTAGCAGGACAAGAGCTTCCAAAACCTGACTTCTAACCCGACTTGTGATCTCCCCTTGCAGATAGTTTACATGCCTTCGATGTGTGTTTTTCCTCCACTTGAGGCTGTAAGAGGCTGTAAGAGGCTGTGGGATGCGAGGGCCGAAGGTAGGCCTTGGCATTGATGTTCCCCGGCATGTTGAGGCCCAACTTCTCGACCTCAGGGCAGAAAGTCTCAAATCCGCCCCGGATCCCGTTTAAAGTGGGCTTTTCGGTGAGCTTCGCGGAGCAACAGGCCAGCGCGCAACACAACACTGCGTGCAGAAATAATGGCTCTCCATAAGGCCCTAAAAAAGCTAAACCTAGTCCCGAACCACCGATTAATACTCTCCTACAAAGCTTCCCTAAGCGTTAAAGACTAGCCCTATTCCACAAACTCTATTCCTAAACATGTGGGGCGAAATCTGATTCCCAAACATTACAGAACGCCCACGACTGTCCCTAATGAGGAAAGGTCTCAGCTCTATTCGAAAAATGAATCCACAACAAGAGCCCAACATCCAAGACTACCCGAATCAACTCGGGACCGAAATTTCACAGATGTCTCAGCCCGCCCTTCTTCGTTTTTATTCAGATCTATTCAGATCTTGAAGAAGGCTGGAATCCAAGACTTCATCAACGGAAGGCACTCGGCCCGGGCATCTTGAGTCTTGGGTCCGCCCCGCCCGTTTGCCCTATAACCCTGCGAGCTTTTGACGCTCAGGTGCATCCGACGCTCTTTGTGCTGCAGGTCGAGGTTCCGCGAAGAACAGACAAACCCGCTCACGTACTGCTGCAACAGCACCATTCGGGTTTAGCTTTAGCACCGACCCTACAGGTTTAGCACACTTCGGGTTTAGCTTTGTATGATGTATGATGTATCCGCAACCGCGGCCAAGAACCGATCCCCCTGCCATCCTAAGCCCAGTGCCTCGCTCGACCAGGGACCTGGTCCAAGACGGCTGACCATCACGCCGCTTTGCCCCAGCTTCCTCCGTGGGATATCAGACTTTGGTTGTTTTGCATGGTTTAGATTCTAGATGTGGTTTGGAGCCGAGTGTGCTGCAGATTTAGATATTGGGCGGTTAGCAGAGCCGAATGCTTGCTAAGGGTTCGGCGCAGCTGGGGCACAGCCTGGGTCACGGTCTCCGCTCGCTTGTCGGGCAGGGCCTTGGTGGCCACCTCCCGCGTAAACACGTCGGTCACCACCAGCCCATACCGATTCCGCCCCCGAGTGTTTTGGCTAAAGTCCACCAGGTCCGCTTGCAGCCGGTCGTTGGGACCCTCGGCCGCACTCTTGCCCAGGCTCCGGGGCTTGGGCGCCAGCACCTACCGGGCCACATCCGTGCGCAAGCAGCCGTGAGGTCCCGGCGCTGCGGGTGGTCCCGCCGGGCGATCTGGTAGAGCTTGCGGGGTGGAGGGGGAGGGCAACTATGTGGTGACCACAGATATGGGGAACGAGTTCCAGGGCCTGGAGCAGGCGCTCCCCGACGCAGCAGTGCACCGACAGAAGCGGCCTGAGGACCGCAATGCGGCGGTCATTGACCGGGCAATACAAACGCTCAAGAAGGACCTGGCGGGCAGGGCGGCCCGGGAGGGGGGAGGCTGGGCGGAGAACGTGGAGCAGGTGACGAGCGCATACAACAAGCGCCCACACCAGGCAGTGCACGCAGCCCTTGAAGATGTGGAGAAGCAGCCAGCCACCACATTCCGAGTGTACCAAGACAATGCGCAAAATTTAAAAGTTCAAGCACAACGACACCCTGACGAGGAGCCGGCAGCGACGACTGCAGGAGGCGGGGGCCTTCCGAGCCCCGACCAATGCGGCGAGGAGCTTCCAGCCCCAGTACGGGGCCGCCAAGGACCTGAGCTCTGTTGACTCCATGGTGGCGCGGGCCACGGATGGCAGCGAGACCCTTCTTAAGCACGCCTTGCCCGTGCCTCGTGGAAGTGCGGAGCCTCAGGCGAGACTCACCCGCCCGCCTGTGCCCTTGGCCGTCCGGACTTCAACCCCGGACGCGTGGCCCCGCCGTGACGATAGGAGCCTTCTGGACTCATGTGGATGTGGGACTCATGTGGGCTCATGAGCCCCTTCAGGAGGGAGGCCCGGTGCCGGTACGGCTTGTGGGCAAAGTGCGGACCCAGCGCAGCCTCCACCTCGTCCCACGAAGCATCGAGCCTCTCAAGGAAGAAGCCGTCCAGCTCGAAGCAGCGCACCCTCGCCAGGCGCCGGACTCGCTCCGCGCCCTCCTCCAGCAGCTCGCGCTCGTGGGCGGTGTTGAGCACGTACACGACGCCGTTCTGCAGGTCCCGGTCGAAGCGCCCCGCCGCACGCAGCTTCTCCACCACGGCGGGGTTGTTGGCAACGTCTCGCCTCGAACCCTCCCGGACGTCCGCAAGGTAGCGCTGGAGGGGAATCGGCAGCTCGCCGTACCCATGCTGCCGGCACCAGTCTGCGATGCCCTTCTCCCCCACGCCGAAGCACTGGTTGATGAAGGACTTTGCCACGTCGCGCGACATCCCGCACAAGTCAAAGGATCCATCCACCCAAGACCGGACGGAGGTTGCATCGGGGTGCCGCGCGGCGAAGGCTCGTGGGAAGGAGGCCTTCAGGTCGTAGTCCCGGAAGTTCGCATCCTGCTCGAACCCGCCTCGCAGGAGCTCCTTGACCTCCTTGCGGTAGGTGAAGCAAGACCTCGTGGCATCGTAGCCCCTCGAGCACCTCAGTCGGGCCAGCTGCGCCTCCTCGACATCCGTCATCTCCTCCTGCGGGATGCCGCTCCACGCCCGCCCCCGCAGGCCCACGATCTGCGGGAGCTTGTCCTCCTTGTACCAGCGCTCCACGGAGCCGTCGGACGAGGCTCTCTCCAGCATCTGGGCACACACGGACCGGAGAGGGAGAGCCGACCCTTCACCGCGGGAGTCCCCGGAGCGCACATCTATGTAGTGGCACGCGCTCATGCTCCCCAGCTCATGAAGCCACTGCGCGTCCACAAAGTCACTCGCGTGGAAGCTCACAACGCTGCTCCGCTCCTCCGGAGCGGCATCGCCGCGGCCCTTGCCGCGACCCCTGCCGCGACCCCTGCCGCGACCTTTGCCACCGCCCTTGGTGACCTCAGACAGAGCAAATCAAGGGGGTAGAACCGGACATGAGCCCACATGAGTGTTACATGAGTCCACATGAGTTCAACATGAGTGCAACATGAGCTCACACATGAGGCGTGAGCCTCGGGGGCATCTTCCGGGCGCGCGTGAGCCGCCTGTTAGAAGCGCGCATCCAACATGCGTCCACATGAGTGCAACATGAGCTCACATGAGTGCAACATGAGCCCACATGAGTGCAACATGAGCCCACATGAGTGCAACATGAGCCCACATGAGTGTCACGTGAGCCCACATGAGTGCAACATGAGCTCACACATGAGGCGTGAGCCTCGTTTCCGGGCGCGCGTGAGCCGCCTGTTAGAAGCGCGAATCCAACATGAGCCCACATGAGTGCAACATGAGCCCACATGAGTCCTACATGAGCTCACATGAGGCGTGAGCCTCGGGGACATCTTCCGGGCGCACGTGAGCCGCCTGTTATAGAAGCGCGAATCCAACATGAGCCCACATGAGTGCAACATGAGCCCACATGAGTGCAACATGAGCCCACGTGAATTAAACGAGAGACTGCGGCACGAACCTCGGGAGATCCATCCGGGCCGGGAGGTGTTGCAGCTGGGTCCTGACAGGATTTGATCTATTCGATGCGTTTGATGTGTTTGAGGACCCTCCGCGGAAACAAGCCTCAGACTGCATCGCCGGCTTGCTGGGCATCGCCGGCTTGCTGGGCATCGCCGGCTTGCTGGGCGTCGCCGGCTTTCTGGGCGCTGCAGCCCTCATAGTCGCCATATTCTTCATGAAGTTATCCAAAGTTCGGCCAGGCGCGGCCTTGGCCGTCGGGACGCCCTTGCGGGCCGCGAGGGCTGCAGGAGCCTCGGACCGCATCGCTTGTGCCAGCCGCTCCTCCAGGCTGCTCTTTTGCAGCGCTCGCAGCGCCTCGGCTTCGGAATCGCGGCCCTGCATGAACTCCAAGCGCTGCAACTCCTGGGCGGCTTCGACGGCGCGCGGGTCCTCGCACTTGTCCGGGTGCACCATGCGCATCATCTGCAAGTGGCAGTTCTTCGCAGTGCCCGAAAAGACCCTGAAGCCGCACTTCTCGCCATCTCCATGAGCTGGGCTCAGCACCAGCTGCACCGCCAGCTTCCGCGCTTCACCCATCACCCCAGAGCCCCCCTGCAAGCCCTAGAAGTGCAAGCCACCGGAGCTAAGAGCCCTGTGAGCTGAAAGCCCTATAAGCTGCAAGTCCTGTGAGCTGAAAGCCCTCTAAGCAGCAAGCCCCTGATCAGAAGGCCCTACCAGCTGGAAGCCCCACGAGCTTGCGCACAAAATGTGCTGCAGTAATTCAGCAATGCTCAAACTCGACGGCCCTCAAACAGCAGTACCGCGGTTGCGGAGGCAGACGGCCAGGTTCCAGGCGAAAGGAAGTCGATGTAGAAGCCGACGCGAAGAGTACCTGCAAGCGACGGGGCTCCCGGGCGGGGTTCGGGACCGCAGGGCACTCTATCTTGACGGGGATGTTGGGGTGGCAGCGGCAAGGCACTCATGCGCTCACGCTCAAACCAACAAAGCCCCATACCCTCCAAGTCCGAAGTGCAAAAACCCTCTGAGGAGCAGGGCGTCCACGAAGAGGTCCAGGCCTGGGCGAATGGACCGTCTATACTGCGGTCTCCCCCTTCGAACTAAAAGCTACAGAGATTCCAGGCTCGCAGCTTCAGAGATTCCAGGCTCGCAGCTTCAGAGATCCCAGGCTCACAGCTTCAAAGACCCAAGGCTCACGACTGCAACGTGCAAGGGCATCCCGCACTCTGGGGTTCCAACGTCCCGACCCACGCCTGCTGCGCCAACGCCGAAGACTCCAGACCTGGGCGGAGCGAGGAGGGGACGGGCACGGGCGGGGTTACGGGGGGGTCAGCAGTGCAGGGCCCTCCTGTGCGCACACGCAGATCCCAACCTCAAGTCCGAAACATACCCGAGGAGAAACCCTAAGACACTCTGAGGCCCCTGCGACGCAAGCCCGCCCACGCCCCAAACCGCCCGGCAGCCCCCCACCCCTACCCGAGATGTCTTGAGAAAGCGAGCACGGAATAAAATGTTTAGTGCAGGGCCGAAGGGAAGGGCCTACGGGGGTCGGGCGGCAAGCGACGCAGATGCGCACTCACTTGCAGGGCACTCCTACCGGTTGTTGGCGGGCGGGCTCGGGAACCCCAGGGTATTAGGGAGCAACCACGCGGCACACTTTGTTTTCAGAACAAGCTACTCTTCGAGATTCCAAAAAAGTGTTTCGGCGCCGTGCGCGCCTTTGTTGGCTTTCATCGCCTTCGTCGGCCTTCGTCGCCTTTCATAGCCTTCATGACCTTCTTGGCAAACTTGTTATTGTTCAAAACCGTGCTTGTCTTGAAATGTCATGTCGTGTTCGAACACATCAAGCATGACACACTCTCCACCAAGCAACATGCATTCTGCTCACATCACTCGCTCACGTTCGAATCTTTTCACGTGGTGGGGAAACAGTACCGAGCACGGCTGGTTGGATCTCGATCCCTCCTGTAAGACCCAAGACTGTTGTTGAGTCTCGAAATGTCCTGTGAGACACAGGGCTCCTTTCCCCTTCGAGAGGAAAATGTAGCTAACTCACTACCTCTCACAGGTTCGACCTAAGTGTGACGGCCTGAACAGAATACCCAGCAGGTTCAGAACGACAGGTCAAGAAGTTTCTGGCTGTCGCTGAGAGCTTGACGAGGCAGCTTCACTTGGCTGCTCCAAGTCAGGTTCAGGGTTCACAAACTGCCACTGAGATTGAAGAGCTGCAGCAGCCTCTCGTTGCTGCATTTCGCGGTCTGCCATGAGATCGTCCAATACCTCAGCCACCTTCACGAGGGAATCCATATTCAAAGAGTGAAGCCACACTCGAAAATCATTCAGCTGATCTCGTGTCAACGACCGCGCCATGAAGAGTGCTGAGAAAAGTAAAGTGGTGGAAGAGCAATACTCGAGCCTTTTATGCATCAAACAGCAAGCAAAACTGTCATCACGCAAACTAAGGCCCGCGCTAACAAGGGTCCCTGATTGCAACACGCTCGCTGAGTTGCCTGGTCCCTTCCCGGATACTGCCACAACCCCTTGTGCACACTGAGTCATCTCCTGACATAGTTGCGAAAACTCTCACATTAGTATACAAGGGTGGCGAGGGTGGGTTTTTCAAAATTGATCTATCAGCCTCTAAGAGCACTTTCCGGGCATCCTGCCCCTCGAGAGGTCCCGCTGCGACGGGTGTATACAGTAAGTACAAACCCTGCACGAACAAGCATGAAACTGACCGAGCAGTGAAAATAAGTTGTGCAAAAAGGCAAGCACTAAAACAACAAGCAAATGTTTTGTTCACTGCAACATTTTGAATGCTGTTTCCTTTGAACAATAAAGCTCTATCTTCTCCAGGTATTCGAAGAACGATACTTATTGTTCAAAACCGTGCTTGTCTTGAAATGTCATGTCGTGTTCGAACACATCAAGCATGACACACTCTCCACCAAGCAACATGCATTCTGCTCACATCACTCGCTCACGTTCGAATCTTTTCACGTGGTGGGGAAACAGTACCGAGCACGGCTGGTTGGATCTCGATCCCTCCTGTAAGACCCAAGACTGTTGTTGAGTCTCGAAATGTCCTGTGAGACACAGGGCTCCTTTCCCCATTCACCTGAGCCGTGTGTCAAACCTTCAGTTTCGAGGCTCTCTTTACAATCGCTGAAATGATCCTGCTCGCTTCTAGCGATTCGTCCTTGAATCCTAACTTCCTAACCAAATCAAGTTGGAACCTCGAAGGTTGATCTGCAAGATTCGCTGGGGAGGCAACCCTTGCATACCACGGTAGAAATCCGTGAACATATTCCAGGAAGTTTGCTTCATCCACCAACATTCCAGCGACTCCTTTCTTAGCAGATCCCGAGATGTAGGCGTGTCGGGCCGCATCGTTGTCGAGGTAGACGATTACCCCAGTTCCAGCAGTCGCTCCATGCTGGGAATACGATTCAGCAAAGGCTACAGTCTTACATGTCAGCAACTTCAAACCAATCAAAACCCCAAGCATCTCCAGCTCATAAATAATAGTTTGCTCTTCCTCTGTGGATAGCACTCGGGTTTGGGGTTCTGAGATCGGCACACTGAAGAACGACAGTGCTGTCCCACTCCCGGTAAGGAGCACGCCACCTAAGCCACCAGACCTTGTCTCGGTTTCGAAGGCTGCATCGGTAAGTATCATGAACGATCTGCATGACACCTGTCCCACCAACCTGGGCTGAGCAGCATCTAAGAACTTGCAAAAGTCTTCCAAAAGGTCTTTGGTGTATCCCGGAATTTTCCGCCTCCCACCATAAGCATGTCTCGTGATCTCAACCAGACATCTCCTGCCCAACCTTCCGAAGAACTGAGCTTGTGCAAACTGTAATCTGCCCCTCAATTGTAAGGCCTCCTTCTGGGCCATCAAACCATTCTCCAGGAAACCTCTGATGGCTGTGACCAACTCCCGACGCCTTCGTTCAGTGTTCTTGACTTTTAGGACCCCTGTCCCTGTTTGGTCCAGCTCAAACAAAACGCCCAAAGCTTCGAAACTTGTGCTCCACTCCGTAGTCTTGTCTGATGACAGCTTCCAACCTAACAGTTTCATGACCTCATCGAAAGTATACCCACATGAACTCCTGTCACCACTCAACGCGAGGAGAACAAAGTCGTCAAAGTAATTCGTCGTAGGGATTCTGGCTCCTTTCACCAGGATCGTCCAAAGAGCCCTCGCAACTCTCAAGAAGAAGTATACTGCTTTCGTGGAACCAAAAGGCACTGCCAGTTGCTGGAACAGTTTG